AGGGAAAGAATTGTTGCTTGCAAACTACCTCAATTAGATATTTCTAATCCAGATATTATAAAATTCATCCATGATGTTCCTCCTTTGCAATGTACACCAGAAGACTGGGTTATTCTCCATGGATCAAGGCTGGTTATATCCAGCAAAATAAAAAAAAGATATGGTCCTATAACTTGTTTTTTCAGTGGTGAGTTTTATAAATTATGCAATATTATACGCTAATATTTATTATATATAACTGTTTCAATTGTGTCTGCAGAAATTCTTAGAGGTAATGATTATAATGTATCATTTATGACTCCTGTTGAGTCTAATGATTCCTATGTTCTCAAACACAGTGATTTTGTTGATGTTAAGTGTGAATCAAAAACTGAGACTGAGTAAGAGGAACATATTAAAAAGAATAACCAATTAATAAACTGGATGAACTTTATCTCCTACAAAATTTTTTAGATGGCACAGTATTATGGTTGGAGTGAAAAATGATCCTAAAGTAAAGAAGAAAAGTAAATGGGAAAATGTTGGAAAAAAGGCCCTCAAATTAAATGTTCTTATGATTGGTTTTGATTCTTTATCCAGAAATACATTTATCCGTAAATTGCCAAAAACATATAAGTATGTAAAAGAATATTTAGGTGCTTTAATATTGGAAGGGTATAATATAGTAGGTGATGGGACCCCACAAGCTCTTATTCCTATTCTTACTGGAAAGATTGAACTTGAACTTCCAAATACTAGAAAACGCATGGGATTAAAAGCAAATTATGTTAATGTATATCCAATGATATGGAATCAGTATAAAGAGAAAAGTTATATAACAGGATTTATGGAAGATGTCCATTATATTGGGACTTTCACATATCGTTTGAAAGGTTTTAAAGAACAACCAACTGATCATTACATGAGAACATATTATTTAGCTGCAACACCATATTTTAGATACTACAATAAATTTTGTATTGGAAGCATCCCAAGACATATGGTACATACAGTTTAAATTTTCATTATATCACAATTATAGAATTATTATTTTTGTCAAAAATTGATATTTTTGTAGGTGATGTTAAATTATATGAAAGAAATTTTCAATGTTTACAAAAATCAACCAAAGTTTTTGTTTGGATTTCATGGAGAACTTTCACATGATTCCTATAACGACATAGGAGTGATTGATGAAGATTTACGTAATTGGCTAAAAGACCTGTATGAATTTGGTCATTTAAATAATACTGTATTGATACTAATGAGTGATCATGGACACAGGTATGTGTAATATACTAAATTTAATTGTTAAATAGAATTCTAAATAAAAAAAAAACTAATGTTATTTTTTTATTAAATTAAATAATAAAAATGTTGAAGGTTTGCAGAAATTCGCAATACTTTACAAGGTAAACAAGAGGAAAGACTACCATATTTTTCATTTCTTTTTCCTCCTTGGTTTAAAAAAGTTCATCCAAAAGCTTACGAAAACTTTTTACATAATACACATTATTTAACAACACCATTTGATATACACAAAACGTTAGAAAATATACTAAATTTTGAAGAACCAAAAATGGGAGATCGTCATCAAAGGGCCATTAGCTTGTTTGATAAGGTGACTTAAAAATTATATCTAACATTTAATATAAATTTAATATCTATTTTTATTATAATTTTTTATTTTTCACAATTGTATGTCTTATTTTTCACGATATTAATATAAAATCGTCGAAACATATTGAATTTTACTATATATTCGATTTTTAATTTTTAGTATAAATTTTCTTAATTAATTATATACTGTTACAATTCAATTTAAGAAATAATAGTCATAATAATTAATGATTCAGATACCATTAGATAGGACGTGCGCCAATGCATTTATAGAACCACATTGGTGTGCATGCCTTAATTGGCAACAAATTTCAGTCGATGATGATACCGTAATTGCTGCAGCCAAATATTTTATTGAATTTCTTAATAATTATATAGAAGATCATCGTGATATATGTGAACAACTAAAATTAAAAGAAGTATTATGGGCTGCCAAACTTATACCTAATAAAGGTGATGTAAATAACTGTTTCGTGCTTATAGTTACTCACAATTATTAAAATATAAAATTTCAGGTTTATTAAAATTTCGAAAAACTAAAGATCAAGACGGGTTCGTAGGGGATTTTAGTGCAAAAACGCAATTAACTACTGAAACTTATCAATTGAAAGTAAAAACAGAACCAGGGGATGGTTTATTTGAAGTTAGTATTACTTATGATATAAACAAGAACGTTTTTTCAACCAAAGTAAGTTTATTTTATATTATTACTAATATAGTATTGTAATAATTATGAAATAAAGAATAAATTTATATAATTATTTGTACAATAAGAAGAAAAATATATCAAAATGTTTATTTTAGATTTCAGATATTAGTAGAATTAATATGTATAGATCTCAAGCAGCATGTGTAGAAAATTCTTTTTATTCTCATTTACGAAAATATTGTTATTGCAAGAATTAAACAATTAATGTATAGAATGTCTCATACAAATATATTTAAATATATTTAAGATAAAAGATGGTTGAAGCGAGTAACTTCACAAGAATCACTTGATGCATATTGCAGAAAGATTCGTGTTGAATGGTGTACTATATTATAATTTACATATCATTAAATATTTAATTATTAAATATTAATCAATAGATTATGTTAAAGTATCTTTATAAATTATGTAATCAAAATATTTATTATCAAATTTAAAGTTATCATATGTTAATATATTCAATAAACTAGTGAGTATATAGTGAGTATACACAGTGAATATATAATGTAAATAATGCACAATATAATGTACTAACCAATAATTAACATTTTCACTTACGTAATAAATAATTTCTTCTTCATAAAATATATTTGTAATATAATTTTTCCAATTTTTTGTATTTTTATTATGGAGGACAATATCCCCCAAACTGATGCAACAATGTTATAATTTCATGTGTAACACTGTCAATTAACAAAAATCCTATGTTTTGCCTATGGCATGGATCATATGGAAAATATGGTTGTCCTTCACTATTTTTGACCACTACTTCCAAAACCACTGTACTAATTGACAGATCTGCATCGTTATTTTTTTGTACTCTAAAATAGTAAAAATATAATTATTTATTGCCTTTAAACTGAATATTTATAACATTATACAATATTATACAGTAATACTATACAACTTTATTAAATCTTTATAAATAGCTTTTGTCACTTCTAAGTATGGATTTAAAATATCTTCATATTGACACAAAACTCCCCCAAGAACAAGCATTTGAAAAATACGAAATATGAATTCCTCACGTTCATCTTTCACATATAAATTATATTCTGAGCATTCTTCATCTAATAACATCTATAAATTTAAGATATGAATAAATATATTCTGTTAATAGATTAATCATAATCAAAATTCATACCCCTCTAAGATTATCAGAGACTAAAAAATTTTCTATTTCTATATCATATCTTTTGCAAATAGTTCCAGATTTATGTACAATTCCATTTTTAGGATCTTTCAATTTATTGAAGAATGTCATGTTTAAAGCAGAACAAGAAATAGGCTTTACTTCAATACTTGATGCTATTATACCTATCAGGTAAAACAAAAATTAGTCACACGTAACATTATATCTAATAGAAAAATATTTTTGTTACCTTGTTTTATCCAATAATCTCCTTGCTTTGTTAATAACTCTTTAGCTACAGTACTATCTTTAAAAAAAGCCTGGAATAAAAAGATAATATTTGAATCATATCATTAAAGATACTTCAAACTGATGGTACATTATATTATAAATAACTAACTTCAGCCAAATGATATTTATGATATTGTTGAAAAGGCTCATTGAATGCAAAATGTTGGATAACAAAATTGCCCTTTATACCCCTGTGAAATTAAAAGAAAAGTTTGTTATTGTATTTAACTTTTAAATAAGAAACTTTGTATGTATATATAAATTAGGAAAAGGTAATATTATTACCATTTAGATAGAAATTCCTGTATTTTTTTATCATTAATTCCGATGAAATTCTTTTCTGTAAGAGGTACAAATGTATAACTTGGTTCAATCTCCATTTTTAAACAATTATCGTTACTATAGAGATAAAAATATGCGAAAAATATGTAATTCTATAGTAATTGTAATATCAATTATGTAGGTTGTACGAAACGTTTAGTAATGTAAAAATAAATCCGAAGCATTGTAAGAAATATACATACTGTTAAGCAAAATTATAATTACAATAAATATAAAACTGTGAAAAATGAAAATTTAAATAAATTACTATAACATAATTATTACTATAAAAATATTCATTTTTATTGTTAAGAAAATATTAAATATTTTATTAGTACCAATTTCAACGACAACAAAAATATTAATATAATCATACAATTAAACAAATATTTGGATAAGCTTCAAAAGTTTTAAGAAACCATGGCGCCGAATCAACGTCAACGTCAGCTTTTTATTTCCAAGAAAGAAATGAAAAAGTTGTATGGCAGAAGATTTTCAAAGTAGACAATATTTTTTCTTTTTTATTAGTAAAAAGTGAATTGAAAATTATTTTATTACTTCATGTTTAATAAGTTAATCATATTGTATGCCGGTTAACCTTCTTCAGCAATTTAAAATTGAACTTTTTTAATAAGAAATTATATATAATTTGAGCGTATTATTTTATAAAATTTGTATAATTATCAATTGTTTTCTATATTTAATCCAACATTAATGGATAACTTAGAATAATAATGCTACCAATTGTAAAGTGAATACATAAAATTGCACATAAATTTTAAGAAAAATTAAGAATATATATTTCAGACCAGAAGAATCTTCTGATACTGGTCTTCTTTATCCTGGTGTGGATACAGCATTTAATCTGCTTTTATCAGCTAGATTTTGTTCTGCTATATGGAGTCACATAACAGATTGTGATGAAACCTATAATTATTGGGAACCAGTAAGAAATAGTTAATAATTTCACTAATTCTGAATGATTTGTATGAATTTGTTTGTACTATATTATTCTGTTTTAATAAATGGGTTATTTATTTTATAAAAATATACTACTTTTTTTTATTACATTTTGTGTCTTAGAGTCATTATCTGCTTTATGGCAATGGTCAACAAACGTGGGAATATAGCCCACAATATGCATTAAGATCTTATATGTATTTATTGATTCATATGGTACCAGCAAAACTTTATCATTATTTACTGGAACCAAATCCTGTTCTAGTATTCTATTTTGTAAGATGTTTATTATCTGTGGGTTGTGCAATGTCTGAAGTATACTTCTATAAGTATGTATATTTTAAATTACATTGGAAAATCGTAAATTTCATCTGAAAATAATAACTAAATATTATTATTTCTTTAATAGAAATGTATGCAGAGAATTTGGGATTCATATAGGAAGACTAACATTAGTATTTCTTATTCTAAGCTCTGGCATGTATATTGCTAGTGCTGCATTTTTACCATCCTCTTTTTCAATGTATGTTGTATAAAATAAATAATATTGAAATGGATGTTGAAATAGCGTGGCCATTTAAATTAATTTTATATATTTTTTATACAGGTATTTGAGTACTGCTGCAACAGCAGCATGGTATGGTCGTCAGTATGAATTAGCAATTTTTGCTACTGCTATATCTGTTTTATTAGGATGGCCATTTGCTGCATTACTTGGGTATTACTTTATATATAGAGAGTTAAAAATTCAAAATTCAGGCTACAAAACTCTAATAATGTTAATTTTTGTTGTATCTTCTGCAGATTACCAATTGCAATGGAAATGTTAATACATAAGCAGG